CCAGAACATAGAGGTGAAGGCTCCATGCAAGCACCAGATCGACCTCTCTATGTTCAATGAGCTGTGTGGATGTTGTCCTCGACAACGGGCCCCATTGTCAGTTTTCAGAGAGCGACCCTCTGTCCCACCATCAGCCTGGGGTGTTTAGGAATCTCCACAGGACCTCCTAGCCCAACAATTCAACCAAATGTAATCCAGTCCCACCACTGGGAGCCTTGCCTAACTACAAAAGATAGCCAGTTCAAACTCCATATCCTTCATTACTAGGAGTGCTCACTAGGATCACCCTCACAATTCCAGAAAGTTTCTACTGTAGTAGGTTTCCACAGCACCCTCCAAATGTCCCCCAGTTCCAGCTGTCTCTACCTGCACTCTCACCTTCCATCCCATTTCCCACCCGACCTGATCCCTCCCACTCCCATCGCCATCTCCCACCCCAAGTCCACCTGTTGTTGGTTGTTTTTGCTCTTTTGGGGGATCTGCCACCCAGCTCCCAAATAAATGACACATGGAGGCTTATTCTTACTTATGAATGCCCAGCCTTAGCTTGGCTTGTTTCTTGACAGCTTTTCTTAACTTGAAATTATCCCACCTACCTTTTGCCTCTGGGCTTTTTTCTGTTTGACTTCTGTGTATCTTACTTTCACTCTTATTCTGTGGCTGGCTGGGTGGCTGGGTGGCTGCAAACTAGCATCCTCCTCTCCTTGTTCTCTTGCTCTTTCTCCTTTTCTCCCAGATTTCTCCTATTTATTCTGCCTGCCAGCCCCACCTATCCTGTCTCCTGTGCCAGTTCCTTCACCTTCTCTTCTGTCAAGTTCAGTGGATCAGGTTTTATGTAGGTCCTTGATCTACTTGGACTTGAGTTTTGTGCAGGATGATAAGTATGGATCTATTTGTATTCTACAGGCTGACATCCAGTTTGACCAGCACCATTTGTTAAAGATGCTTTCTTTTATCCATTATGTATTTTTGCCTTATCAAAAACCAGGTATCCATAGGTGTGTGGATTTATGCCTGGGTCTTCAATTTTATTCCCTTTATCAACATATCTGTTTTTATGACAATACCATGCAGTTTTTATAGCTCTGTAGTACAACTTGATATCAGGGATGGTGATACCTATAGCAGTTCTTTTATTGCTCGGGATTGTTTTAGCTACATTAGGGTTTTTGTTTTTCCATATGAAGTTGAGAATTATCCTTTCAAGGTCTGTAAATAAGTGTGATGGAATTTGGATGGGGACTGAATTTCATCTGTAGATTGCTTTTGATAGGAAGGTCATTTTTACTATGTTAATTCTACCAATCCATGAGTATGAGAGGTCTTTCCATCTTCTGATATCTTCATCGATTTCTCTCTTCAAAGACTTGAAGTTTTTGTCATACATGTCTTTCACTTGCTTGGTTAGAGTTACTCCAAAATATTTTGCTTTTTGTGGATATATTATTAATGAAAAATGTTCATTTCCCTAATTCCTTTCTCAGTCCATCTGTCATTTGTATACAGGAGGGTTACTGAATTTTTTTTTTTTTTTTTTTTTAGTTAATCTTGTATCCAGCCACATCACTGAAGGTGTTTATCAGCTGTAGGAGTACCTTGGTGGAATTTTTAGGGTCACTTATATATACTACCATATCATTTGCAAATAGTGATGCTTTGACTTCTTCCTTTCCAGTTTGTATCCCCTTGATCTCCTTCAGTCTTATTGTTCTAGTTAAAACTTCAAGTACTATATTGAATAGATGTGGAGAGTGGACAACCATGTCTCGTTCCTGATTTTAGTGGAATTGCCTTAAGCTTCTCTCCATTTAATTTTATATTGGCTATAGGCATGCTGTAAATTGCCTTTATTATGTTTAGGTATATCCCTTGTATCCTTAATCTCTCTAGGACTTTTATCATGAAAGAATGTTGGGCTTTGTCAAAGGCCTTTTCTGCATCTAATGATTGTATGGTGGTTTTCTTTCAGTTTGTTAATATGGTGAATTACATTTACTGATTTTCATGTTGAACCACCCCTGCATCTCTGAGGTGAAGCCTACATGATCAGGGTGGATGATCTTTTTTACATGTTCTTGAATTCAATTTCCAAGTATTTTATTGAGTATTCTTGCATCTATACTAATGAGGGAAATTCATCTGTAATTATCTTTGTTGGGTCTTTATGTTTGGGGTATCAGGGTGACTATGGCCTCAAAATGAATTGGGCAATGTTCCCTCTGTTTCTATTTTCTAGAATAATTTGAGTAGTACTGATACTAGCTTTTTCTTTGAAAGTCTGGTAGACTTCTGCACTAAAGCTATCTGGATTGGGCTTTTTTTGGTTGGGAGACTTTTAAAGACTGCTTCTGTTTCACTAGGGGTTATAGGTCTATTTAAATTGTTTATCTATTAAAATTGTTTCCTGGATCTTGATTTAACTTTGGTAAGTAGTACCTATGGAGAAAACTGTCCATTTCTTTTAGATTTTCTAACTAGGTGAAGTATTGCTTTTTAAAGTTATGTCCTTATGATTCTCTGGATTTCCTCAGTGTCTGTTATATCTCCTTTTCATTTCAGATTTTATTAATTTGGATATTCTTTTAGTTTGAACGAGGTTTATCGTGTTGGTTTTCTCAAAGAACCACCTGTTTCACTTATTCTCTATATTGTTCATTTCTATTTTATTGATTTCAGCTGAGTTTGATTATTTCTTGCCATCTACTCCTCTTGAGTGTTTGCTTCTTTTTGTTCTAGAGCATTCAAGTATACTGTTACATTACTAGCATGAGATCTAATTTTTTTATGCAAGCACTTACTGCTATGAACTTTCCTCTTATCACCAATTTCATTGTGTCCCCTAAGTTTTGGTATGCTGTGTATTCATCTTCACTTAATTCTAGAAAAGTTTTTAATTTATTTCTGTCTTGACCCATTTTTCACTCAGTAAGTTGTTCAGTTTCCATGAGTTTGTAAGCTTCCTGTTGTTTGTTGTTGATATCCATCCTTAATCTGTGGTGGTCTGACAGGATGCAGGGAATTACCTCAAATTTCTTGTGTCTGTTGAGACTTGCTTTGTAACCAAGTATCTAGTCAATTTTGGACAAAGTTCCATGAGGTGCTGAGAAGATATATTCTTTTGTGTTTGAATCAAATACATTCACTTGGGTCCATTTGGGTTAGTCTGTCAGCTCCAGTATTTCCGTTTTTGTCTGGAAGACCTGTCAGTTGGTGAGAGTGGGGTACTGAAGTCTCCCACTACCGGTATGTAAAGGTAAATGTGTGATTTAAGCTGTAGTAGTGTTTCTTTTATGAAAGTGGGTGCTCTTGTGTTTGGGGTATAGATGTTAAGAACTGAAATGTCATCCTGATGGATTTTTCCTTTAATGAATATGTAGTGTCCTTCTTCATCTCTTGGTGTTGAGGTGTTTCTTGGATGCAACAGAATGGATCATTTTCACATCCATTCTGTTAGTATGAGTCCTGTTAATTAGGGAATTGAGACCACTGAGATACCAATGACCCATGATTGTTGATTCCTGTGATTACTGGGTGGTGGTAGTGATGGTGGGTGGATGGGTGGGTGTCTGTGTGTATACACTTCCCTTCTCTTGGTTTTGCTAGAGATTACTTCCTGTGTTTTCATGGGTGTAACTAACCTCCTTTGGTTGGAATTTTCTTTCTACCACCTCCTGTATTTGTTGATATTGTTTAAATTTGACTTTAACATGGAATATCTTATTTTATCCATCTATGGTGATTTTGCAGGGTATAGTAGTCTGGTCTGGTATCTGTGGTCTCAGAGTCTACAGAACATCTTGTCCAGGCCTTTCTGGCTTTTAGAGTCTCCATTCAGAAGTCAAGTTAATTCTAATAGGTCTGCCTTTATGTTACTTGTCTTTTTCCCTTGCAGCTTTTTATTTCTTGCTTTGTTCTGTACATTTAGTGTACTGATTATTATGTTGATGGAAGACTTTTTCTGGTCCAATCTATTCAGTGTTCTGTATGCTTCTTGTACCTTTATGGGCATCTCCTTTTTTAGATTTAAATTTTTCTTATATGATTTTGTTCAAAATATTTCCTGGGCTTTTGAGAAGGGATTTTTGACTTTCCTCTACTTCTAATATCTTTGGGTTTGGTCTTTTCTTGGTATCCCAGATTTCCTGGATGTTCTACATCAGGAAAGTTTCAAACTTAACATTTTCTTTAACCAAAGTATAAATTTTCTTCTATTTTTTCAATGCCTGAGATTCTCTCTTCTATCTCTTGTATTCAGTTGGTGAAGCTTGTGTCTATAGTTCCTGTTCAAATTCCTAAATTTTTCATTTCCAGAATTCCCTCAGTTTGTTTTCTTTGTTGCTTCTATTTCCACTTTTAGGTCTTGAACAGTTTTGTTTCTTTCAACTATTTGTTTTTCTTGGCTTTAAAAGATTTACTCATTTCGTCCAATTGTTTGTGTTTCCCTGACTTTATGGGATTTTTCATTTCCTCTTTAAAGACCTCTACCACCTTCATATAGGTGGTTTTATGGTCTTTTTCTTGTGCTTCAGCTATGTTAGAATATGCAGGGCCTGCTGTGGCAGGATAGCTAGGGTCTGCTGGAGACATTGTCCTTGCTGCTGTTGTATTTTTATGCTGGCTTCTAAGCACCTGGGTTTAGGGTGATTACAGGCGTACGTTTTGAATTCTGGGAGTTCAGGATGGGATGTTCTGTGGGATCCATAGGAGGCATGGAAAAGGGAGGGAGGGAGGGAGGCTGTGGCTGGGATGAGCCTGAGGGATTGGGTCTGCTGGAAGAACAGAAAGAGCAGAGAAAGTCTGCAAGCAGCCTACAGCCTGAGCTGGGGGCTGGGACACAATTGAGGGAAGGAAGGCTAGGAGGGGATGTTCTGTACAATCCACAGGAAGTACGGATGGGGGAAGGGAGGCTGTAGCTGGTGTTCTGTTGCAGCATTAGAGGTGAGCCTGAGGGATTGGGTCTGCTGGGAGAACAGAGAGAGCAAAGCAATAAACTCTTCTTATACATTCAGCAAACTTTATATTGCAAAAAAAGAAAAAACAATTGAGACAGGTGTTTGCTCTCGTGCACAGGAATACATCTATCTGAACTCCTCTCACAGCTTTGCTTTGCAATGTTTACATAACACACATCAATTCTGACCCAATAACAATGGTAATTTTTTAGAATGTAGATGAAAATAACACTAATCTACTGAAATATTTTTAATCTGCAATTAAACCATCACCATAACAACAAACTTCATCTCAAAATGTCCCTCTATTCCCTCAGCTATTGCTCTCTGAAAGCTGGAATCCTCTCTCAGATCATGTAAAGACACACTAAAAGCACAGGAAAAAAAATGGTTCATCTTGCTAACATAATGCCCATAAGTCTGGTGACATAATGCCCATATTTTAACCTTGAACCATAAAGTCAGAGTTAAAGCATCACTTAATTCATACAGTACATTATTATCAAAAGTGCCCGCTTCCCACTGACTCAGAAGTTCCCTATCTGGCTGATGTCATTTATTAATTGTTTAACCATGACTCAATCAAAGAGTGTGCTTGTATTAGGCTGCTGGTTTAATTTAGAATTAGAATGCTTGTATTTGGGCAACTTTCAAATACAGAAATACTACATGTGGCATATGAACTATGGATTTTGTTTCCCATTACTATAGGAAGAATTTATTGAAATAAAATTTTACGAGACAAAATGCAAATCTACATGCTTATATTTAAGTGTGTACATGTATATACTAACCCTAACTAAAGCATTACAAGCAATACTAACAGTCCTAGTTACATATTCCCAAAGACTTAACTACTTTAAAGATACATGTTATAAAGACACTTATGTCAAAGGCAAAAATGAAGAATCAACATAATCTTTGAGGTTTTCAGTATTATTTCAAAAAGCTCTCTATTTCCCCATAGAAGAAAACTATGCATTTGTTTATTCTAGAAAAAAAATATAAAAGGATAATGCTATCATGTGAAGGATTCACAAAACCTAGTTATATATCCCATGAAAGCCATACCCAGTGAAGGTAAACAGCTGTTATGGTCCCTACTGTATGACAGACACACCATCAGCTTTCCTCTTTGACAACAAGGGTTTATCTTTTTCAAGCTCTCTTAACTGTGCCACAGAAATTCAGATCCTGTAGCAACAAGTTAGACTACAAAATAAGGCATTCTGCTTACATGTCACAAAAGTAACAGGCTTAAAATAGTCAAGCATATTCTTAACGTCTTTACAATTTCACATAATCCAAACATTACACAGAAAGTATAATTAATTGCTATTTTCCAGGGGGGGAAATGTTCAGGAATCTTCAACTTTGGCTATCTCTCCTACCACGATCTTTAAGCCTGTAGGCAGGTCACCCACTAAAAGGTTTTTCCAATTATATTGTATCTAATTTGACAAAATCCCTGTAGTGTTATTTAGGGAAAGAAAGAAAAGTGGACTTGGCACACATATGCCAACAGGGTAACGAAGTTTCCTTAAACAGAACTTCATCCTCCACATAGAATCCAAATCTTCCATCCACCTGCAGCAGGTAAGAGGCAGCAATACCACCTCTATTAGCACAAGGGAGAAAGCTGAAATGCTCTGAAACACCTAGTGTCTTTAACTGCGGATTTTACACCAAAGATGCACTCTAAAATACATGTTTTTTTCTGAAATCTGATTTGACTGCCCATCACACTTTTACATTAAATGTTGCTTAAACAAAAATAGAGCATAATTTCAGTATTCTACCACCTAAAGGTCGTAAAGCAATGGTTATCCATCAGCAGCAGCGGGTAAAATGCACCTAATTTGGGTCCTTGACACCTCTTGTTTAAGTTTATTGTACGATAAAGTTCTTCACAGTTTAAAATATTGTGAAGTAAGATTTTATATATAATTATATTCACATACACACTATGTACACATACTATCTGAGGTGTCCATAAACCTGGAATATGTGTTTATCAATAGGGTCCCCCACTTGGAGCAGGAACCCTGAACAGATTGGTGTGGACTGTCAAACAGTTTCCAAGAAATGCTTAGAAATAAGACAAGAATATTATTATGAGCAATTATAATAAAAACTTCACCTTATTTACATAGTGCCTATCTCCCAAGAGGTAAATATGCTTCATGGATATCAATTATCATTTTCCACAACCAGGGACTACCAGGACCATGCACTTTGACATTTGCAGAGCAAAATCCAAACACGTAAAGACCTCTTGGCTCTCAGTCTCCCTTACCACATTTCAGTCTCGTGGTACAGCAAGATTCTCAGCACAAAGGGTTAATGTCTACGTCCTCCGGTATCTGCAGTGTGTGTTAGATTTATACCACAGGGAGATCAAATGGTATTTTGGCTTTGGCAGATGAAAAAGTCTAACATTCAGTGTGATTATAACTCATTGTAACTTCTCCAGTCTAAGTACAACACAGCTGATTGGTCTACAGGGGTGGAAGGGCCAATGTCTAACATGGCAATGAGTTCTCATCCAAACAGCTACTGGTAACTGACTACAGAGACAGCCCAGAACCTGGCACTGTCTAAGGTCTTTTCTAATTCCACATATAGTATACACATATAAATAAGAATCTTAGCATAAAATGTACAGTTAGCATCAGTTCATGTTTCAAGGCCTTACGGGTGAACTTTAAAGGCCAAGAGCTCCTCAGAGTGCATGTTGTTTAAAGATCGAAGATCTGGCAACTTTAGAAGTAATTTTGTAAAAATGGAGGCCTCATTTGGATGGTTTTTCATTATTAAGGTCCTTAGTGCACGGATAAGCGTTTCTTGCAAAGCTTCCACTGAGTTGACATTTTCAATTCCAGACCGATCTAATGGGGAGGAAGGAAGAAAGAAATATGAAGGGACGGACATATTAGCAATAAATATTCCTACTTACTGATCACTACCAAATTCAAAATAGGGTTTTACACACTGTAACAAACACAAGTTTAGAAATGTAAAAATTCTCAGCCAGGCATGGTGGCACACACTTCCAGCACTTGAGGCAGAGGCAGGCAGATCTCTGAGTTCAAGGCTAGCCTGGTTTACTAAGCAAGTTCCAGGACAACCAGAGCTACAGAGAAACCCTATCTCAAATTTAAAAAAAAAAAAAAAAAAAAAAGGAAAAATTCTCAATGGGAAGTTTTATAGCTGCTTATTCTGCATATATCTCACATTTGTTAAATCAAGATTTCTTTAGTAATTGGAGTTTTCTTCATATAGTTTAGATGTTCTGGGGCTGGAGAGATGGCTCAGAGGTTAAGAACACTGGCTGTTCTTCCAGAGGTCCTGAGTTCAATTCCCAGCAACCACATGGTGGCTCACAGCCATTTGTAATGAGATCTGGCGCCCTCTCCTGGCATGCAGACAGAACACTGTATACCTAGTAAATAAACAAATAAATCTTTAAAAAAAAAAAGTTTAGAGGTTCTGATTTTTCTTTTTTTCTAATGTATATGGGTGTTTTGCTTGCGAGTACGTCTGTATACCATGTGCATGCCTGATGCTGAAGAGTCCAGAAGACCCATTGGATCCCCTAGAACTCAAGTTATAGATAGTTGTGAGCCACTACATGAGTACTAGGAAGCAAACTCTAGTCCTCTGGAAGAGCAGCCATTGCTCTTAACTGCTGAGGCACCTTTCCTACTCAAAGTTTTTCCGTATTTAAATTTGATGCTAATTTCAACTGCTTCTAATTGGCAAGATAAAATAATGTAGTGCAGAAGTATACCCTTACCATATATGGACTACATTCCCACTTCCATGCACAGTAGATTCCCTACCCTAGTATCACACCTTGTATTGTCCCTTCCTCTTGAGAGGGTGTTGGGGGATATCTGATCACACTGTGAACCCCTAGTTTGCATTTGTGTTAATTAAATAAAATTAACCTTGGGTCAGGAGGCTAAGTTAGCAACTAGTTGACAGACAGTAGTCATAGAGCATCAGAGGGCATCTAGAAGAGATAGAGATGCACCAGAAGTAGTGGGGAGGGATCTGGAGTGGCGCAGCTTTTTTTTCTTTGGTGGAGCAGAAGGATGCTCTCTTTCAGAGGTGCCAGCAAGGAGAGAAGGTTAGCTAGGTGCTACTCAACCTCTCTAAGCTAGCAAGTTTTCACCCCAGGCTTTGACTCTTGAATCTTATTTATAAACAGAATGATAAGAGATATAGTTAAAGCTACCTTCGGTGGCAGCAGCAGAGCTAATGCCTATAGGGACAGAATTCCCACCAGGCTGCAGCCTGAGAGGCTAGGTTGCTACCAGAGAAGTGGGCCAGTAACTGCAGAGTCACAATTGCTGGCTGAAATAGCAGTAGATTAAGGCAGTCACTGTGCAGAAGTTAAACAATGAGAAGGCTAGACTTACTGGTTCCCATATAATGAGTAAAATGCGGCCATTGAGAGGAGCAACCTGCACCTTAAGGGCTACTGTCTGAATGAAATACAAGAGAAAGTTGTTACAACCTAAATGCAAGGTGCCAGGGAAACTGGAAACATCACTGTGAGTCATGAGGAAACACCGTGTAAGGACTCAGACACCCTGGTCACTCATCCAAACAGAAAGTAACCCCATACTAGGTTCATATGAGACAACCCTTTTCTCTACCAGGATGTGGAATCTGAGGCACAGAAGGATGAAATTCTCAGTCACTAATTAAGGCATAACCAGATTTTGAGCTTACCTGCAGACACCAGAACAACTGCTGTGAACAAACTCATCTCCTCATCACTGAGCTGGAGGGCATTCAGCTTCTCGCTGAACTCAAACATAGAACTGAGCAGATCTCCTGCTCCCATTGAATGCAGGTCATCCACACTGTACTTCTTCCCACTTAGAAATGTGACAGTCCTCTCCTTTGCATCAAACAATGAAGCAAATCGTACCATTAGAACCTGGAAGGCAGAAAATTCAAATGTATTTGGAGAAGTTCATTCATAAAACTCGATGTAACTAGTCAAGTCAGTTAAGAAACATCTACATATAAAAGAAATTTTATAAAAAGGAAGCTGAATTTATATCTAGAACCACTTTATTTTAATTTTTTTTTTATTTATTTTTTTTTATTTTATTTTTTTTTTTAGTTTTTCGACACAGGGTTTTTCTGTGTAACCACCATGGCTGTCCTGGAACTCATTTTGTAGACCAGGATGGCCTTGAACTCACAGAGATCCGCCTGCCTCTGCCTCCCAAAAACTGGGATTAAAGGCATGTGCCACCACTGTCCGGTTAGAACCACTTTAAAGGCAAATTCTCCACAAAACCAATAAATATCCCAACATCAGAAAAAAGTCGAGATTCAGAAATGCAAATATAAAATTAAAGTGAGCAATGATGTCACTGAGTTAGTAACTAGAGTCTGATCAAAGGCACTCATGAAACTCTTCAGGGTCCCAAGCATGTTTCAGGTGTCTATGCCCCGAGAGAAGTCCAATTTCAACAGAGCATCACTGGGAACCCTCAAAAAACCAAAGGCCGTCAAGGGAAATGCAGCACACAAGCCCTACTTAGACCACTACAAGACCCAGAGTGTGTATCTAAAGATGGCCATCACAGCAACTGACCGCTACTCCAGCCAGTCAAGACTGTCTCAGGACTACAGCATCCCTCCATCCCACTGTCGATATGCCTCCTTACAACTGAAGGTGCACTGCGCTTCCTTCTACAATTCCCCAAGCAAAGGTGGACTGCCCAGACAACCCAAAAGGGAGTGCATCTCCTGTGATAATGGTGCCAATCACTTTATAATGATAATGGAGCAGTCAGAAGGCAGAAAGAACATAAATCTTGAGGAAGTCCAGGACCCCTGTCAAAAGCCCAGTCACTCCAAGAGTCTCTTCACCTCTCTGGGCCAGAAGTACCCCTCCCAAAACAAGTGGACTGAGTCAATCACTGACTTCCTTCTGACTTGACAACTTAAGTCTCACTGTATTCCTTTAAATTAAAAGGCCCAATCTGTGTTGCTGCTTGCTTACTCTATGGATGGTTTATTATCAAAATGGTCCAGGTGGTCCAGGAAGCAGAGCCTGACACAAAAGCTTCTGTGCCCATGTGAAATTGGGGTAAGGAAAAAGGAAACAAGACCCAGCAGAGGGAGCAAACCTGGAGGTCACTCCATCCAGGCACATGCCAGGAAAGGCCAGCACTTAACCCCCGAGTGCCTGACAGTTTAACTCTGGAGGACTCACCAGGGGAAGAGTCAGCACATGTTCAGTCCCATTCTCACACTGCTCAGAGTTCAAAGGTCTGGCCCCCCAGATGTTCACTTCTTACCGTCCCCTCAAATGTCAGAGCTACCACTGGGAGGCCACTAGTTGGCGAGCTCTCTACACAACAGGCAGCCATAGCCGTCCACGTACAGGCACAAAGCCTCTGTGCAAAAGAAGCTGAATGGGAAAGAGTGAGACAGGCAGTGACAGGCAGCCATCATGGCACACCTCTATCAACTGGGGACAGAGACAGGAGATCGGGAATTTGAGGCATTGTCTCAAAAACAATGATGACAACAAGTACCCAAGAACCATGAGAAGGGCAGCACAGGGATGTCTACTGAGTTCCTAAATAGTCTACAATCTTTTGAAAGAAAAGCCATATTCCATCTCCTTTCTTGGGGGGTGGGGGAAGGGGGAATTGTTTGTTTTAGAGACATGGGGTCTCACTATGTAGCCTGGCTTGCCTGGAACTCAAGAGATCCGCCTGGTTCTGCCTCCTGAAAGTTGTGACTAAAGGCATGCACCACCAACCCAGCCTACTCTCCTTTTGTTTTCTGTATTGAACATATTAAACACCCATTAAGCAAAACCCAGTAAGTCTACACCTAAAACCACCACAAGAACTTGGAACTCACATGCTGCGTACAGAGTTCAACACTTCCAGTCCCAAGTAACTCAATGTACCTGTCCCTTCTCAAAGCCCTGGGATAGTTATTATTCTGTTAGTTTGAGACTCTGAACTATAAACATTTATTTAAAAAAGAAAAAAATTAGGTACATGGACTTTGTGTCAACGGTCAGGATAAATAAAACCTACCTCAAAAGTGCCAGCTTTTAGAAGGTTGACCTGATCATGTTGAGACAGATCTCGGAACCCAGGAATACGCTTTGCAAATTCCACCACTTCTTTTACTGCTGGTGTAAAACTCATTGAAAATTCTTCCCAGATTTCATGCCCAGACTTCTGAGGATCCACATATGGAGATTTGCTCATAGGACAAACCTAATTTACAGGAAATAGAAAAACTCTTAAATTGTGAGGGGTGACAAAGAATTCAAAAGTGTCATCTCAATTGTGAGAAACCTCAACATGAAACAACTCTCTAACTCAAGCAAGGTCTTCCAATAACCCTTCTTCTGTGTGCACCTCACCTCAACACAGGAAGCCTTCAGCAGTAAAGACAGTTGCACATGTCAGCATACATAAGAAAATGTGTGAATCCTAAACAACATTAAGGTGGGTAAACATTTTCAAATGAAGGCGTAACAAATCACATATTCAGGCTGGAGAGATGGCTTAGCAATAGAGAGTAAATACTGCTCTTCCAAAGATCCAAGTTCAGTTCCCAGCACACATGTCTGAGGTTCATTACTGCCTATTAGCTGCAGCTTCAGAGGATCTAACACCTCTGGCCTCCTCCGGCGTGCACATATCCATACTCACACATACACTTAATTAAAAATAAAAATAGCCAGATGTGGTGGCATATTAAGCTTAATCCCAGCCCAAAGATTTCTGAGTTCCAGGCCAACTGGTACACACAATGAGTTTACGATCAACCATAAGTATACAGTGAGACCCTATCTCAAAACAAAAAACAATAATACGTTTTTTAAATAACATAGAAATCACATATCTTTTTATTTAAAAAGCCTTGTGCAAGGCAGTGGTGGCACACGCCTTTAATCCCAGCACTCAAGAGGCAGAGAAATGCAGAACTCTGCGAGTTTGAGGCCAGCCTGGTCTACAAAGCGAGTTCCAGGACACCCAGAGCTGTTACACCGAGAAACCTTTTCTTGAAAACAAACAAATACATAAATAAATAGCCTTGTAAAGCTAGGAGTGGTGGCTCACACCTTTAATCTCAGTACTAGGGAGGCAAACTCTCTTTGAGTTTCAGTCTGGTCTACACAGTCCCAGGCCAGTCAAGGCTCTACACAAGACCTTGCATGCATGCATGTATGCATGCATGCATGAATGAATGAAGCCAGCCCTGTAAACCAAGTGTGGTGGCCCACACCTTTAATTTCAGCACGAGGAAGGCAGAGGTAGACAGATCTCTGAGTTCCAGCTCAGCCAGGACCACAGGAACCCCGTCTCCAGGCCTAAGGCAACAACCTAATTTAAACAGCTATGGGTGTTTAAGTAGTAGCCTAGGAAAAACAGTCTAAAACAAGCTATTTCAAACCCTCTTGCACAGGCCTAAGTGTACCTTGTAACAGTGCTGCCACCTCACCAGGGCTTAAGGCGCTTTAAGTTCTGAGGACAAATCACCCTGGTTACTACGACCAATTGTAATCACCCGGAGTCTGTATCTTTAAAGCTGCATCTCAGTTCATAATTCTTCCCTGAGTACAAGAACCTCTGGAAGGCTCAGTGCCTTATCCGAACACAAGTGAGATCATAAACTCTTACTTCCTATTTCAGAACTCATTTGTTCCTCAGTGAACAAAAACACTGCACATTCTAAAAGGAAGGCAGCATAAAGTGCCTCATTTAAGAGGATCACTGGTCCTTTATCTCAGTAACAATGGTGACCAGGGACCTCCACCAGCTTAGCTAAGAAACGGACTGGATACCAGGTACACCTTCCAAACAGGAACTGAGGGAAGCCAAAGAAGTTGTAGCAACACTAAAGAGACATGAAGCATGTACCATATAGTCTATTACTAAAACTAGCCTTTATTTAAATTTCCATTAAACCCATAGGAATCCAGGAATAAGATGATTCTTAAGCCTGGGGACTGCTATAAACCAGAACCTGAAGTCTCCAAGTGCCTGGAGGAAGAACCTAAGACACAAGGTAACCAAGTGTAAGGGCACCTTCCAGACCTGCACTCAGACACTGGCAAGAGACAAAGAAAACTGAACTCAAAGACTGGGGAAGAATCAACTATTTTTAAGATGGGGAAAAAAGATAACTTTAATTACCTGGAAGTTGAACAACACAAGCACTATCAAAGGACCTCACGGTTTAAACAGGAAATGGCATAGTACTGCTGCTTTGATGAAATTCTGGCTGAACATGAACACTGTATTTTTGGGCAGAATGTTGAATTTGATGTAACAAATTTGAATGATATGAATAATTAACTTATCTGAGAATAAAATCTTAGAAATTAGGCGAGTAAATTGTTCCTTAATTCTGAAACCATAAAATACCTATCTCCAAAGCTCTTTCTAACATCATAACTAAAGAGGCTAAAAAACTTCTCTGCTAGGGAGTGATGTACTCTGGAGTCCCAATGATCCATACATCATCTGAACCCAAGAGCTCAAAGGCAGCCTGGACAACATAGCAAGACTGTCCCCACAAAGAACAACAAAACCCCTCTCCATAGAAATCAAAAAAGCTTAAAAAGATCAACCCTTTTGAGAAAGAACCCAAAGCTAATGAAGTACTAACTGATCATAGCACCAAAATTTCCAAAGAGATTTCCAAGAATTACAGGATCAATTCTGTGTGAACCGTATTTTATACAAATCTTAACCCTACAGTAGTAATGAAAGCACAAGCTTGTACATATTGCTATGTGAAATTAAGTTACTTCACAAGCGTTGCTCATTAACATTATTTCACTAAAAATACTCGAGTCTTCTAGAATCTCTTTTGAGCTTTCTGACCCACCTCCCAAGTCAGCATACCACTCCCCCCACCCAAAAGAAACCTTCCAAGCTTTCCTTGATAAGGCGAGCAAAGAATCATTTCACTATACCAGATGCATCCTCCCTCCAGTGTTGCACAGGTAACTATTCTTGTTCTCATTCTGAGAACATCCATCTATTGGAACTCTATCACAGACTCTTTGAGTGTAAGCACTGGAGAAGTTCACACAGTGTCCATTTGCAATACAAATGCCATGCCCATTTGGGTAATGCATCATGTTCCTCCCTTTGTACTGTCCACTGAGATGCTGCTGGCTCTCACTACAGGGAAAGTAGCTGTGAAGCCTGCTGCCACAGTGGTCATGATTTAAATTATATTGCTCCACATTCCTGGAGATTCGTTCTCCTCTCTGGGGTGGCATGCTCTCAGCCGAGTTTTCTCGATGCTCTTGATTATACAGAAAGGTATCCTTGTGGGCTCTGGTCACCATGCCAATCACTTCCTCCTTCGCGAAATCAGAAGAGGGAGGAGGAGAGCTTTTGAGGTTTTCTTGCTCCAGCTGGGGCTTGGGCCGCAGCTGTTCCTGAGCTGGTAGGGCTGACTGTTCATGCCGCTCCACTAAGGTGTCATTTTGCAGATGGCCACTGAACTGGGTGTTCATCATGGTCTTCATTGCGCTTTGCATTTCAATTAGCATTCTCTGTTTTTCCCGCTTAGGAATCCGGCCAAATCGAACAGCTATTGAAGAGAAAGATAGTTAGCATCTATATTCTAATAAACTCACCTTATACGAAATAATGACACAAAATTACCTCTGGAAGCCATGGCCTCTTGTCCTACAAGTCAAAAATGTCTACATGTCCTTGGCCTAAGTTTTCTAAATTTGGTCTTGATACAACAAAGGAAGTGAGAAAGGAGAAAACGTCCCATTGTTTTCTTTCCCAAAACAAGGCTAAGAAAAACATGTAGTTCTTGGGTGTTTTCTAAGCAAAAATCTAAGAAACATGGAAATAACTAATGAGAACCACAATGTAGAGCACACCAAGACTGTATTAAAGACAGACACACCACACAGCACTCTGGACAATCTCTGTGGGTTCCATAACAACCAGGGCTATACAATGAGAGCCCACTGCAAAAACAATTTTTAAAAAGACTAAGACAGCTGAGAAGATGGCTCAGTAGATAAAGAACCTGCACCTAAGCTGATGACCCACACAGAAAGAACCAACTCCCAAACACTGTCTTCTGACCTTCACATGTATGCCAGGGTACACACATGCCCACATACAAACGCAAAATAAATACGATGTGAACGTAAGTAAATAAGGGGCTGGAAGGATGGCTCAGCAATTAAGAGCACTCATTGTTCTTGCAAAGGACCTGGGTTCAATTCTCACCATTCACAGTGTGGCTCACAATCATCTGTAACTCCAGTTCCAGGGAATCTGACACCATCTTCTGGCTTTAGCAAGCACTAGTTACTCACATGGTACGTGTAGGTACACAAGGGGAAAAAAATCATATACTGAAGTAAATTAATCTAAGTAAATAAGAAATGGGCTCCTTAGTAATACCAAGGGACCAAGAAGACAAAGTCAAAAAAAATAAATCTTAAAAAAAAATTAAGGGCAGACATGATGGTGCCTGCCTAAAGTCCCAGCACTCAGGGAGACAAAGACAGGTGGATCTCTGTAAGTTTGAAGCCAGCCTGGTCTACATAGAGAGTTCCAGATCAACTAGGGCTATGCAGTATAATACATAATACATAGTATCGTATAGTACATAACAGACATACACACATATATTATTTTATGTGTATGAATATTTTGCCTGCATGTATATAAGAATACCATGTACCACAGTGCTGTAAGCCACAGGAAAACGTAATGGAATTCAGCTACTATCTCAAAAGTTACTACTTGAGCCGGGCGGTGGTGGTGCACGCCTTTAATCCCAGCACTAGGGAGGCAGAGGCAGGCGGATCTCTGTGAGTTCGAGGCCAGCCTGGACTACCAAGTGAGTCCCAGGAAAGGCGCAAAGCTACACAGAGAAACCCTATCTCGAAAAAAAAAAAAAAAAAAAAAAAAAAAAAAAAGTTACTACTTGGAAAAGTCAAGGACTTCTCCAAAGGTCAAGCCATGGCTTAAGAAGTCTTAGTGATATTTTAGCTTTTATATGTATATTAGCTGGTTCCTACAGTGATTTTCTTGTAATGTTATACATTCTTCCTAGAACTCCTAACAGTGTATTTATCTAAAATACCTATCAAGCATCCAAGACCAAATGAAACAACACCTGTCTCCTAGGTCAGGCTGATAGCTTTATTTCTTGTGCTATTTAGGGTGAGACCCTACTCTCTTATACAACGTTACCTATAGATCCCTAACTTCTTACCTAACCACTTCTAACTGGTCATTAGCACTCAATTAACCTCCTCTTTTACCACTCCCATTTGGGGTTGTAAAAGAAGCCTGATGGCCACTGCCTGAGGAAAATTCTGACCTATCTTTATGACCCTGTAAGAATTCAAGCCTGGTGACCTTGCTATGGCAGAGAATCGCTATTGCTTGGTTTATAACTGAACACCTCAGAGACTTGAGAGGACCTAGAGGTATAAGGAGACAAAGAGGAAGAGAGGAGTAGAGAACTTGAGGACAGAGAACTGAGAGTGATAAGGAGGATTTTGACCAGAGAGAACATGTGGACAAGATGGAAGATGAGGAAGAGCCAAATGAGAAGGATCTAGGTGAGGCAGAATAAGATGAGAGAATTAAGACAGAACTTAGAGGGAACAGTAGATAAAGGTAGAGAGAAATCAGGCAAGAAAGGAACTAGGCACAAGAACAGAACTGAAGCTGTGTAGATAGGATTTTATCTCAGAGGAATAAAATAGACGGACAAAGAAAGAGCTTGTTGTACGTAGATTCATTTCCTGAAAATAACTCTCGCCATTCGTACTTTTCTCTCCTGAGCCCCTGGGAAGTGTAATATTAAGGCTGGTCCTTTTAATATTATACAAGACCACAGATGACAGAAGAGTGCATCAAGTCCCCTGGAGTGACAAGCAGTTGTGAGCCATCATGTGAATGCTGGAAACTGAACCTAAGTTCTCTACCAGAGTAGTGAGTGCTTTGATTTGGTGCCACCATTCTACACCAAATAAATCCTCCTCCCCTGCCCCCGACCCCGAGAAAAACTTAAAATCACTTAGAAAAAATGGAAGTCAATTTACAAGAAGTAACTAGAAAGGAGCCATGCCAACAGCTGCCGCTGAGATGACAGCCCTCACCCACCATAATGAGTTGCAATCCACAAGTCACCATGTGCTTCCTGAAATACCAACGTCAGAGGCCCTGGTAACTGCTGACAGCTCAATGACCAGCTTTACACTTTACAAAAACTCTCTGAACTGGGAACATACCATCTCTTGACATTCCCACTGACAGACACTTCTTGAAGCGACACTGCTGGCATCGGTTCCTGTTCATCCTCATGATCGAACAGTTCTCATTCTTCAGGCACTTCTTGTATTGGATGTTTTGCTGAATGCTCCTCCGAAAGAAACCCTAAAATAAAGGAAGATTTATCCATCCATGTAAAAATAGCTGCATGAAGTCCTCAAAAGAACTATTCCCCCATCTATCTAGTGTCTATGGAGCTAGGCCCAGGTCAAAGAAAGAAAATTCTGACACAGAATTTAACTGGATACTTACTGGTATCAATCAGCAGATACAACACATACCAGCCAAACAAAATTCCTTTTCTTGCTGAAGAGTACCCTTTTATAAAGCATTCCTGCTGCTAGAACTCAGCTGTATCCACATGTTCTACCTTGAAAGCAAGTTTTCAGCTTATTTTGGAGATGGGTCTCATGTAGCCCAGGGTGGCCTTGAACCCACTATATAGCTTGGAATGGCCTTGAACTCCTGATCCTCATACCTCCATCTGTTCATAACAAGCCTGTACCACCATATCTAGCTTTCAAAGCTTTTGAAATATAAATATTGAGTTTCAGAAAGCTGAGAGTTTGATAGTTGAACAGAACCTTGTTACATTAGAATTTCATCATTTCTGGATCATACTTGTTGACACCAACAAAGCCTACACACACATGCTAGATGTCCCTAGCCACATGTCAGCAGCCATGTTACAGCACATGCCCAGAGCCAGCTAATCATCCAAAGAAAAAGTTCCCAAGCAGATGACTAAACAGCTATCTTGACTACACAAGCACACGCTCTATGGCAGGTCTTCATCAACCCCCTCGCTCAATGTTCCCAGAAAGAACAGAAAACTTGAGTAAAACTACAAAATCATCTCAAACTGTATTTCCCCCTAATATTATAACTAACTACACATGATCTATCTTTGTTAAATACTGACCAGATATAATACTTTTGCTTCTTACTGCTGTGATACTATATACTTGGTTTAAACAACTGAAGAGCTAAGAACAGTGTATTTTTAAGAAGGTACTGAGGGCTAGGAGGTAGCTCAGTGGTAAAGTGCCTGCCTAGCCGGTGTGAGACCTTGGGTTTCATTCCCAGCACTGCCCCAAAAGCATTTATTTAGCAAGATATGGTAGCACACTCCTGTAATCCCCATTAACTTGGGAGACTGAGGTAGATTTTAAGTTCTAAGCCAGCCAGGTCATAAGACCCTGTCTCAAACAGATAACACCAAGACATTAATCAACTATTTGCATTTCCAATATGGTGCTGGAGAGCTGCCTCAGTAGTTAAGAGCACCAGCTGCTCTTCCAGAGGATCAGCATCCACATGGAAGCTCACAATCATTTGTAATGCTTGTTCCAGAGGATCTAACACCCTCCTCTAGCCTCCATGGGTACTAGGCACACAAGAGGTGCATAGACATACATGTAGGCAAAACAGGAATGTACATAAAATAGTAAGATACTTTTTAAAAAGAATATATAATGCATTTCATTCAGATCATGGTTTTACTTTCTAGCTGTAAGGTGAAAATCAACTTAGCTTAAAAATACTTCAAATTTTCTTTAAAATATGTATAGTATTTACACAGTTCTTAAAAACAGTAGAAAACAGCTACAGAACACACTAGTCATTCAAAAGTTCCCAAATCCGACTCATTTAGAACTGTCCCAGAAGAGACTTGCTCTTTCATTACGAATGTTCCTCCTTATCATATTTGCCCTGCCACATCCTGCCAAACTGTATTCCTACCCTAGCCACAGTGGGAAAACAGCAAGAACACATGTTGACCTTGTTCACTTTAGTAACAGGAAAAAGGGCTGTGTCAGTTTAAAGAGACAGTCCTAGACATAGGTAAGGAAGCAGAGCCATTTTAAGGAGGCTACCTAAGGCTCTGGTTGCAATCACTAGAAGTAATCAACTTACAAATTACCTTTTTCCTGAGTTTTCCATTTGAATTTAAGGTGATCTGACTCCACTTGTATTGTATTGTTTGTTGCTGTTATTTATTTTTGCTTGTTTTGTGTTTGAGATAAGGTCTTGCTAAGTAGCTCAGGCTGGTTTAGCATCAACAATCCTCCTATCTCGAGCATTATTTCTGAGCATACTACATTCTGGCAAATACTTAGCAGCTACTGCCAGCCCACAGTACCTAACAGAATAAGATCTGATATGGTTTGACTATGTTCTCCAAAGATTATGTTCTAGAAACTTAACACTCAATGCCATGGTACTGAGAGGCAGGGCTTTATGAGTGTACCACATGTATCCTGCTTTCTTCAACTGGCTAATGTTAATATGGAAATGAATTTGTTAGAAAAAGTAAGTTGGGAGCCAGGCATGGTGGTACACATCTTTAATCCCAGAAGCAGCAGGTGGATCTCTGTGAGTTTGAAGCCAGCCTGGTCTACATAGCCAGCTTCAAGACTACACATAGAGACCCTGCCTCAAACAAAACAGAACAACAGCAGCAAAAGTTAGCTGGGCTTATTCCTATACATCAAGCTCACATTCTTATGCATGAGCACTTTGTCTGCCCTATTCAATGTCTTCCATCCTCCAACAGAAAGGCCCTCCCAAGACGAAGGCCCCAGTCTCCACAATTCTGAGGCAAATTAGCTTTACAAATTACCCCCACCTGTGGTATTCTGCTTCAGCAAACAGAACAGACTAAGACCTAACTCAAATTTTAATTTACAGGCATGGTGCCCATGCTTGTAGCAGGATTGTAAGTACTAGGTCATCCTCCACTGCCCTACACTCAAAGTACTAGGTTATCCTCCACTGCCCTACATTCAAAGTACTAGGTCACCCTCCACTGCCCTCCACTCAAAGTACTAGGTCATCCTCCACTGCCCTACACTCAAAGTACTAGGTCATCCTCCACTGCCCTCCACTCAAAGTACTAGGTTATCCTCCACTGCCCTCCACTCAAAGTACTTGGTTATCCTCCACTGCCCTCCACTCAAAGTACTAGGTCATACTCCACTCAAAGTACTAGGTCATCCTCCAATGCCCTACACTCAAAGTACTAGGTCATCCTCCACTGCCCTACACTCAAAAGTACTAGGTCACCCTCCACTGCCCTACACTCAAAGTACTAGGTCACCCTCCACTGCCATATACAGCGAGTTCCAGGCCAGCCCTAGACTACCGGAGACCCTATCTCAAAAACCACAGAAAGAGTGAAAACCCAGGCGGCACGGCTCCACAGCTCTAACTGTCTGGATCATACCTATTTCCTGACTGTGAAGGCCTGTGCCTGACTGGACAGCGAATGAGCCAGAACTGCTACGCTCCACACCAAGTCACCGGAACTGAGACAGCCAATTTATTTTGATCAGAATCTTTTTTTTTTTTTTTTTTGATCAGAATCTTAAAGCTGAAGAGGAACTGCTGATTCCTCCTCCCTTCTAAATAAACTGTGGACATTCACAAACTTAACCCACTTTCTTTAGTCTCAGAATTAGATTGGTAGTAGGAAATAAAAGCTTGCATTACCTTACAGCCTTCACAAGCATGAACTCCATAGTGGAATCCTGACGCCACATCCCCACAGACTTTACACAGTAGAACCATGCCACTAAATTCTAGGGTACAAACAGACAGAAAATAAAAAGCTGGAAGAACCACTCAAGTGCTTTTCCCAATTGAATATCTTATCCCATTCAATTTGCAAGTGCTTTAAAACAATACACTCATATCTTTGTAGCACAGCAAAGAAATCTCTATAACAAATTAACAAAGGAAAACCAGTCTTCCTTCCTCTCCCCTCCCCAGCACTGGGGGTTGAGCCAGGGTCTTTGCCCACACTAGGCAGGTGCACCAAGCGGCACCCCACCGACAGCTGGCTTTCCCTTTGGATGACTTTAGGTATCCATGGAAATTTTGTAAATCTGTAGTTACCTTACACCATGCATGCAACAAGAACTAAGAAAACAAATCTCCTAGATAAAAAGATTTCAAACAGAGAAACTAATCAACAGAAAAATGTGAGGGGACGCTGAGAGATGGCTCAATGATTAAGAACACTCGCATAGGACTAGGGTTCAGTTCTCAGCAACCACATGGCAGCTACCAATAGCATGTAACTCAGTCCCACCCATCAGTTGGGATGCCCTCTTTCTGGTCTCCAAGGAGACACAGACACACACACACGGTGTACATACATTCTCCCAGGCTCACACACATACACATAAATCTAAAAGCAAATAAGTAAGTAAACCTTTTCAAAAAAGAAGATGTAAAGAAGGCTGAAGGCATAGTTCAGTAAAGAGTGCTTACAGAGTGAACATGAGACCTGAGCTCGCACCCCAGCTTCACATAGAAAGAAAAAATGTTAAGGGTGCAGAGGTTTTGAGTTGCGCTGCTTCAATTCAACAGCAAGAGCTGGGCAAGCGCCATGCCTTCTCTACCAGCCCTGCTAGCCCTTTCCACCCACTCACTCAGGTAAGCTGCCTCATTGGTCAGTACACTCCTGCTTCGTTTCCTAATCCCAAATGTTCCCAACTCTGGCTTCATGGAAGGAAACCCTTCCCATAACCAGAAACAATGCTCAGTACCAGGAGTCCAGCAGAAAGGTTTCTATAAGTGTGTGGTAAAAGAAGAGACATAATTGGGCCATCGAACCATATGACAGCCAGACCCTGGCCGAAACTTCTAAAACCATCACTTGCTGTTTTGCCTAATCACTGACCATGGTTACCAGAGAAAGAGTAAAGTATAGTAGTACCCAAACGAAAGCCTGGGATACAGAACCCCTCTGCACCAGAGGCCACAGTATAAAACACTGACAGACTTACTTGTCATACCGCTGTGACTCTTGGTCATGCCAGGAGCACCAGGTTTGCCTGCTTTCACAGGACAATCTGGGCGATCACTCTTCAAGACACCTTCGATGCTAGAGATGTCACTGTTCTTGGGATTGCCGTTGGCATCAGAGTTAGAGCTAGTTGGAGAAGATGGAACAGACGAGGATGAGGACTGGAAACTGTTCTCAGAACCCTCACTGTGACAAGAGGCAGGGCTAGAGGCAGAGCTGGAGGAACTGATGTAGGCAATCACACCTCCTAGAAAGAGTACAAGTAGACAGTCAGATGCAAGACGATGCACGTGTTTGATTTTCACTCATGTAAATACAACACTTTACTGAACTGTTAGAAATGCCACTAATTTCAGAAATAAAAATGATGGACACTACTCTTGTTTACACCAAAAGACTTTTTCTTGTTTCATGTTACTCCTTCCACGAAGTTCAAAGCTATGTTAAGTCTCTTTGACGTAACCATGAGAAAGCCTTCAATAGCTTGTCACCAGCACACAGCAGACCCAAACCTAGCCTCTGAGAGCCCTCACGGCAGATGACTGTAGACAACCCTCACTGGTCCTCATCCTCCCTGGGACTCCACGCTTGCTTCCCCAGCACCTAGCTGAGACACAGGCTAATGGGGCAGGGGTTCCATTTGGAATAGCAGACAAGGTCATTATCTTAATGCAGGGAACCTTTCCCAGCTGCTGCTCCGAAATCTTGCTGCTCTGGCACTTCCTGAAGACAGGACTCCCCACCTCCTTCCTGGGCCCACCGACCACTGCCCTTGCACACTCATCTCTGTGCAGTTCTTAAGGATCCAGACACACTGTGTGTTCTTCTAACGTGTTACAGGCCACATCAGAGAGACTGGCAGAAGATACACCAGGTAAGAACAACAGTAAGGCAGAAGCTAGTCTTATCCACCAGACATCCTCTCAGTCTGCCCAAAACAGGACAGTTACATTCATGGAAGTCACCTCCACAACCCCTCAGCAAACTGGCCTGGGCCTCTGCAAAGCTATAATCTGTTCAGGATGAGACAGTATTTAAAAGTGTTCTTAGGGTATAATCTTAAACTCCTTCCCTCAAAGAGATAAAATACTGCAAGAGTAACCCCCAAGGCCAAATATATTATTTTCCCAAATCCCAGACCAAACAAGTAATTCTCTTCTCTGCCAAGGTCCACTGTGGTTTCTCCTGCTTCCATCATCAAATATTCACTGGCTCCTCAATGTAGAGCAAAAACAACGGTCACCTTTCCCCAGCACTGTACTGAAGTCACACTGCACCTCCTGTCTAACTGCTTTCACCTGTTTTTTGGCTAGCCATAGCATCTACGCAGTACTATAAGCCTCAGTACACTTTACAGGGATGAACCCTGCCACACACACTTTTAACATCCTCTCTGCCGTTGTGAAATCCATGCTGACCAGCAGATTCCAAGCAATGCAAGGTACAAGAGGGAAGTGAGGCTCCTGACAACTGTCTAGATGATGCACATAAGGAGGAGGAGAATTTCAAGGGCAATGGAGGCATTAACTTGAAAATAAAAATGTAAGCTATGGCTCAGAGGTAGTGTGCTTGCCTATCATGGATGAGGCCCTGGGTTCGATCCTTACTACTGAGAAAAGGGGGAGGAAAAAGTTTCCTAAAGAAAATAGCTCTTTGGTCCATCTTTGACCCAATTTTGGTAAAGATGGGATCTGTGTTTATCAGTTGTTTAAAAAGTAAGAGGTGGAGGAAGGCTCCACAGGCCAAGTGCTTGTGACACATGTGATGACCAGGGTTCAAATCCCCAGCACCCAGGTTAAAAGACAGGAAAGCCTAGAGAGATGTTTAGCCATTATGAGCACTTCCCCCACTCCTGCTGAGGACCTGAGTTTAGTTCCCAGCACCCACATCAGGCTGCTCACCATCACCTGTAACTCCAGTCCCAGGAAATCCAACACCCTCTTCCAGGCTCCACAGGGACCCCCTGAGCACATGTATACATACACACACATACATAAACATAAATTTTAAAAACAAATTGCAGGTGGGCATGGTGGCCCACTTGTAATCAACGTGCATGGGAGGAGAGAGTGAATTGCTGGAGTCAGACTAGCCCAACAGTTCAGCAAGAGAACCAGCTTTACTAATGTAAGGTAGAGAGCAATCAAGGGACACACACACCCAACACCTACCTCCAGCCTCCACATACATGCATACCTGTGCACATGCCAAGATATATACATAGACATGCACACATACATACACAATAATGATATAAATAAACCACACAACAAAAAGTTGAGCTCAAACAACCCTCCCAAATTCAGATACTTTAATTTACAGACAGAGGGGGAAAAAAAAAAACAGGCAGAGGAATTTAAACTACTTTCAGTCTATTGTGTTGAAATCAGCTTTTGGATGTGTAGTCTAGCACCAATCATCCACGTCCAGATAGGAAACCTCTGAGGAGTAAAGCACAACCACAGCTCTCAGGGAGCTGCTATCACCCAAAGAGGGGAGGGGACAAGTGTCTCCTTTGCCGGGGACTTGTCAGTATGTGAAAAATCAACTGCACACAATTCACAAGGTGTTTTCTTCATTTATGTGCCTAGGTTTGTGTTCATGAATATATGTCAAGTGTGTGGGACCCCAAAGTATCAGATCCCTGGGAGCTGGAGTTACTGGAAGTTGTGAAAAGCCCAATGTGGGTGCTGGGAACCAAATGTGGTCCTTTAAGTAGAGCATGAAGTGGACCTAACCACTGAGCCATCTCTCCTTCCAGCCCCTACACTCCACTTTTTTTTTTTTTTTTTTGAGACAGGGTTTCTCTGTGTAGCTTTGCACCTTTCCTGGAACTCATTCTGTAGCCCAGGCTGGCCTCGAACTCACAGAGATCCTCCTACCTCTGCCTCCCGAGTGCTGGGATTAAAGGCGTGCGCCACCACCACCCGGCTTATACTTCACTTTTAAAGACAAAAATAATAATTCACTAAGCCAGGCATGATAACACATGCCTGTAACCCTAGCACTCAAGAAGCACAGCAGAAGGATCCTGACTTACACATAACAAGTCCTTGCCTCAAAACCAAAGTAAGGCAAACAGGAAAAACAAAACAGAACCATAAATTGGTCAGTTATAAAGGTTATTATCTACTTAACGTAACTGCCCAATTATCTGAAATGCCCTGTGAATTCAATGAGAACCTGCAAGCCTATTCTGTCTGGAGAACATTATGTGTGGAGAAAAATCTCTAAGTACATCTGTCTTTAAAAAGCTTAAGAGATGCCGGGCGGTGGTGGCGCACGCCTTTAATCCCAGCACTCGGGAGGCAGAGGCAGGCGGATCTCTGTGAGTTCGAGGCCAGCCTGGGCTACCAAGTGAGATCCAGGAAAAGCGCAAAGCTACACAAGAGAAACCCTGTCTCGGAAAACCAAAAAAAGAAAAAAGAAAAAAAAAAAAAAAGCTTAAGAGATCTGAAGTGCACATCATAAATTCCAGGGTCAGAAAACTGCAGAACACGATACCAAGAAAAACATCTTATCAGTGGAGTATCCCACAGCTCTGTCTGTAAGAAATACAACCTTAGACACTCAGTGCACACCTACTACTTGAAGAGGATAAAAACGAGGCTCTTCCTTGAGACAACCTTCGCAGGACCAATACTGGAAGTCATTTATGTTCACAAGGCCTTCTGAGTACCTCTGCTTAGAAATAAAAATAAACATTTAGCCTATAATGACAAAAGTCAGGAAGCTGAGGCAAGAAGATTCACAAGTTCAAGGGCAGCCTAGGCTATAAAGTGAGATCTTGTCTCACAACAGCCTAAAGGTACTTAATGGGGGTGGGGGCCGGGCAGGCTAAGGAGGTACCTCAGTGGCCAAGAGATCTTGCTACCGGCACCAGGATCTGTGATCAGATCTCAAGCACCCACAAAGAAAGTCAGACATGGTTTTGTACTACTGTGACCCCAGAGCTGGGAGGAAGGGTTCAAGACAGGAAGATCCCTGAGGGTTTTTAGCCAGCCAGCCAGGCTAAGGAGGAAGGGGGTGACAGCACCTGTGTGAGAGACAAGGGCTCTCGGGCTCTGGGTTCAGTGTCTCAAGGGAATTGGGGAGAGAGCAATGGAGAAAAGCCAGCACCCTCCTGACCTCTGCACATGTGCACACACTACACTAAATAAACAAACTTTTAGAAATCTGCCCAACTGCACACACCACACACACTAAATCAACTTTTTGAAATCTGAGCTAATCCAGATTGCTTAAAACTAGCCAAAAGCACTGCTTGGGCCATGACGGCATTAAACTTTCTTTGTAAACACTCCAAAATAAAACATAAGGAAACCCCCTGGCCTGTTATCAATCCAGCTCACATCTAACTCCAGTCCTTAGGGGATTCAAGTGTTTGTACTCAGCACCTTGAAATCACTGGGACCCATCAAGAAGTAGCATCTTTCTTCCAGTCAGACCTCCCACGCTGACTTTCTTGTCTTCATCTCCTCTACACAGCAATCTACCAAGCTCATGGTTAGCAACTCAGGGGTTAAATGTAACTTCCTAGAAGGTAAGGCTTACAGGAGCAGCTCCTCGTGTGAAGAAAGGAAAATCAAACTCTCAAGTTCACACACAGTAATGAAGTCAACCATGAAATGAACACAATCTCCTGGTCACATTTCAGCCTTCTAACTTTCATTAACCCATCTGCAAATAAGGAAGTCGGAGCTGAGAAAGACTGAGTAAGGCAGCTAGTAACCAGCAGAACCAGATTCAAAAGTCACTGAACTACCCAATGAGTGAGTTCACAAGATCACTGAGAAGACCTAAGCAAGCAAGTTTCTCACCAACCCTGAGTCATCACTTAAGACAGAAATATCTGCCAGTAACTGCAGGACTAAAATGAAAGTGTTCATAAAAGGGATTATTATATACACATATTTTTTGTGCACACAGTCTCTGATGATAAAGCAAGAAATGTAAAATCCCTGATCCAGCAAATCCCAACACTTCCAGAAACAAGCAGAATGCACTTCTTAGAGCCTTGAGCTAAAATTAAGTCAGGCAGCAAGCCGTCCTCTCTATTTTTAGCTCAAGGGGAGTGGAGCTGGGCCAGGTTCCCAGTCAGGGCTTACCCAGGAGTCAACGCCGTCCTGCAGGCTGAGGTCCGCATTCTCCTTTCCTGGGCTTACCCCTCCTGGAAAGGAGGCTTGCTGCCAAGTCACAGCAATATTTGCCTGTTTTGTGCCTTAGAACTGAACATTTTACCACCAAGGATGCTTACTTTCTTATCACAGAGCGATTTATTAGTGATCCCTCATCACAGGAAAGTCGGGTAGATCTAACAGAAGCACTCAGTTTCCACCTGTGCCTGGGGTCTGGGGCTCCAGAGCACACATGGTCATGTCCCCAAAAAGCTTTGAAGATGGAGTGGAGCACTGTGAGCAGTGGTGTACAAACAGGGTGGAATGCTAAGGACCACATGAGCAGTGAACAGAGCAGAGATCAAGGGCAAAGTTGGTCTTAAAGAATGCATCCCCTGCTAAATGATGTATGTGGCTGTGAGAGAGATTTTTAAATAAGATTACAAAAAATGAGATCTTAATATGTAAAACTAACAGTATTTTGGTTTCTGTGTACCACACTAGAAGGAAGCCAAGGTTTAATCTGGTGTCTGGAAAGTAAGCCAGCTTCACTAGCAACAGGGTTAGAGAGGAAGGTGGGGAGGCCGCTGGGGAGTGCAGAATGCTGACATCAGGCCTCGGACACAGGCACCTGACCCCTTCTCAGGCACAGCCCCATTCCTCTACCAACTGAGTGGATCCGTACATGATCTCCCAAGCTCCTCACTACAGATCCTCTACTATAGATTCCCAAGTCAGTGGACCTCAGCCTTCCTAATGCTGCCACCCTTGGACTATGGGGCCAGTAAACTGCAAAGGCCTACATTTCAGATCAGGCAATTTCTGAACAATGGATAAAATCTCACTTCAAAATACTTCCCATAGGGAAGAAAAAAAAAAACTTCCCATGAAAAGGTCCTAGCTGACCCCAAGGTTACTGTGAATCAGCAAACCAACATGCCAAAGAGAAATAGGTGTGTGTGTGTGTGTGTGTGTGTGTGTGTGTGTGTGTGTGTGTGTGTGAGAAAGGGCTGCAAACTGCAAATAGTTCACCTGCAGCAGGGTGCAAAGAGAAGAGCCTAACTCGGAACTTGGGAAATGCCCAAGCACTTCCATGGCAGTCTATTCACTTCTGGGAGCTACATCCCAGAGGGCACCATGGATTTAAACTCGATTAGAAAAACAGTGGACCAAGTGAGAACTGTAATTGGGGGGAGGAGGGAGCCATCAACAGCCACCTGGGAAATGCTCACAATTTGTAGCACCAAAAGACTAACAGAAATAATTACGTCCTCCAAAGGCCCAAATCAGAGAAGCTTCTAAGCCACCTGACCCCACCACGTCATGAAGTTAGAACCTGAAGAATTCACGTGGGGAGCGGGGTTAGAGGAGGCTAACTCTGCCAACCTCTAAATTGCTGGTGAAAAAATGTTCACCCCATGAAAGATGATTGAGTATTTTCACGCGGCAATGGCTAAGAAGAACAGTAAGTAATCAAAACTATTTTTGCCGTTGGTCTAAAAATTCATAAAACATGTTACTATAGCCATGATTTTTAAAAGGTGCAGAGAACTCTAATTTTTCAAAACGAAAACTTGATTTGCTTCAGGTGTAAGGGCCATCAATGGGGACAGACTAAAAGGGAGCAGGGAGTGTGGTATTATTCTGTGACCATGTTGCAAGAAACGTAGTATGGTTTTGGGGTTCAGGCAAAGTCGGTCCTGAAAAAAAAAGGGGGGGAGGGGGAGATTGTTCTCTTGGCATTTGAGTTAGGACCTCACACCGTAGCCCATGCCTGCAACTTTGTGCGGTCTCCCGCCTCAGCGCTGCTCTTGTGCGAGGATAAAATGTTTTTAATACAAATAAAAGTTTTGGAAGGTTCTGAAATTCTAGGATCACCACAGCCCTTGATCACATGGGGCCGCATGCAGAATTCCAAGCTGGAGGGGACTTGTAGACTATGTCCTCCAGGAGGCGGAACGCTGAGTACACGCGGCCCACCCGGAGGGTACTGCGGGGCTCCCGCAGGCCTCTGCTCGAGAAGGACCCACGCACTCCCTGCCCAGCAAGGTCAACCCTGCCGGGGTCACCTCGGGACGCGCGGGCTGCGGCGCGCACTGCGGCGGGACCAACAGCCGGCCTCGCGGGCAGGTGCGCATGCGCGGCGGGCTCCGCAGTGGGCAGCAGCGGGAGACCCGGGACCGCGGCCACGTCACGGCGGAGGCCCCGGAGGCGGAGCCTCACGCAGGCTGCGGGCTCCCCGGCGGCGCCGCCCCCACGTGTCCCTGCAGCCCCGGGGAATGTGGGTCACCGCGCGGCCTCACGTGTCCCCGCCCGCCGCCGCCCAGCGCGCATTATGTAATGCCGCGTCACGCGCCCGCGCAGCCAACCGGCGCCCGCGCTGCCGAACGTAAACACACCGTGCACGTGGCCCGCGCGGCAGGGCCATGTGAGGGGGGCGGCCGGCGTGCAGGGAGCCCGGGCTCGGGATCCCGGCGTCCCCACGAGAGGGACGGCCGCACGGACACGCGACCCTGCCACCCGCGCCTCCTTCCCGCTCTTACCCGCGTTCAGTTCCATGGCGCTCGGCGGGGTGCGGCCCTCACCGCGCCGCCCGGGGCTGCAGGCGGTGGGGCTCGCGGGCCCGCCTCATGAGCACCGGGCGCGGGCGGCTCCTGCGGGCCACCCGGCAGAAGCGCGGGGCAGCGGCTTCCTGTGGCAGCGTTCGGCGGCGGGCACGGCAGCTGACGGGGAGGGCGCCCCGACCATGTGACCCGCGCACACCCCCTCCTCCGCCGCCGCCGCCGGCGGTGCGGCCGCTCCGCCCGCTCCTCCTCCTCTAGCCGCCCGCTCCTTTCCCCGACTCCTCCCGCTCCTGCCCCCCGCTCCGCCCGCTCCTCCTCCCTGGACTCTCCCGCGGCTACTCTTGGCTCCGCCCGCTTCCTCGCTGCAGGCCCCGCCCCC